AACATTTCCCCTCTCCCACATTTTTTATTCTCCCTTGTGTTCCCTTGACTACCTTACAAACTCTATTTGTCTCTGCAGTCCCTTTTCCTTTGCTGATATAGTATAAAACACCTTATAAGCATATGTATATATAAACACCATCTACGTGTATACCCTCATTTATTTCTCATGGTGATGTAGATGCCATGGTTGTTCCCATTTAAAGCTTGGGAAACTTAGGCACAGGGAAGTTTAGTAATTTACCTGATGTTATGCAGATAATAAGTGAAGAAGCAGGATTTGAACCCAGGCTGCCTAATTCTACAGCCGGAGTTCTTAAGAGTACACACAAATGCCAAAGCCCATGTAAGCTCGAAGCTGCCGGGACCATTTGGTGTCAAGTAAGAGAAGCACCCCACCCTCAAATGAAGCCTATATAGGAAAAGGAAAGCTGAAGGGAGAGAGGGAGAGAGAGAGAGAGAGAGGATATGAGAGAGATATGAGATATTACTGATTATTTTATTTGAATCCCTGGAGTACAAAGCCAGAAACTACCTTTGGTCTTCCCAGTTATACAAGTGCATAGAGTCTTTCATCATTTGTAGTTATGCGTTCTTAACCAGAGGGTCCACCCACAATTGTATACAAAGTTTCTTGTATACAAACTATAAAAGAACTATAAAAGAGTGTATATGCATGTTTCTAGGAAGAATCTCAAAGGACAACTTGATTCTACATAACTGCCATGTATATAGCATCTTAGCCAAATTTCCTCTGCTAAAATCACAGACCTGTACCTCTGAAACAAATAATACATTATATGTTAAAAAAAAGAAGAAGATAGTAGGAAGGGAAGAATGAAGGAGGGGGAGATTGGAGGGGGGAGATGAACCATGAGAGACGATGGACTCTGAGAAACAAACTGAGGGTTCTAGAGGGGAGGGGGGTGGGAGGATGGGTTAGCCTGGTGATGGGTATTAAAGAGGGCACGTACTGAATGGAGCACTGGGTGTTATACGCAAACAATGAATCATGGAACACTACATCAAAAACTAATGATGTAATATATGGTGATTAACATAACGTAATAAAGAAATGCAAAAAAAAATAAAATAAGGTGGGCACATTTGGAACAAGGCAGTTGTCATGTGGCTAGCCTATGCTTACATTAGGTCTATCCCTGGAGCTACACTTATATGAAGCAGAATACAGCATTTCTTGTATAAAGGCAAGTGCCACAGTGCCTGAAATCCTTTATCGATTATAACTTCTAATCATCTTTTAAAATGCAAAGTGAGTGCATATTAAAACTGATAAATTGAAAATGCATGCTTGAAATCTAAGTGTCCATCAATGGATGAATGGGTAAAGAAAATGTGGCATATATATGTGTATGTACATACATATATATGTATATATTTTGTACATACATATATATATATACAATATACACTATATACAATGGATATTGTTTAGTCATAAAAAAGAAGGAAATCCTGCCATTTGCGACAACATGGATGGACCTTGAGGGCATTACGCTAAGTGAAATCAGTCAGACAGAAAAACAACTACCATATGATCTCACTTACATGTGAAATCTGAAAAAGAAAAAAAAGAAAAAGAAAGAAAGAAATGAAATTTATAGATAAAAAGAACAGATTGGTGGTTGCCAGAGCCTGGAGGTGGGGGGTGGGTGAAATGCGTGAAGGGGGTCAAAAGGTACAAACTTCCAGTTATAAAATAAATAAGCCCTGGGGATGTCACGTACAGCATGGTGATATAGTTAATAATACTGTATTGCATATTTGAAAGTTGCTAAGAGAGTAGATCTTAAAAGTTCTTATCACAAGAAAAAAATTTGTAACTATGTATGGTGTCAGATGTTAACTAAACTTACTGTGGTGATCATTTTGCAATATATATAAATATCAAATTATTATGTTGTACACCTAACACTAACCTAATGATATGTCAATTATATCTCAATAAAAAAAAAACAGGAAGAAAAGAAAATGCTTGCTTATGTCAGATCTTTCTCCAAACCTCACTAAAATGACAGCTTTTCAGTCCTGGTTCTGTTTGTCTTCAGATCCGTTTCTTGTTCCTCCCTCATTCTGCTCTGCTTTATTATACAGAAAGACTGCCCTCTGCTAGGCTGGGCTTCTTGACTTCCATGGTTCAGCAAATAGAAGCACTGGTGGGAGACTGAAGACTGGGGAGAAAGGAGAAAGTAGAGGATTTTTCTCCCTCCCTGTCTGCCTCGGGCAGTGAACATGGCAATGGTTGGGGCTCCAGCTACCGCGACACAGATCTACTACAGTTCTAGCTTCCACCAGGTAACCTTGACCCTTGGGCTCAGGTCATACCACCACCTCCCTTTGCCCTCAGCCTGGGGTAACAGAATTGATCATTACAAAGTTAAAAAAGAAAGGAAGATTTACAAAGTTAAAAAAGAAAGAGATCCCTGTAAAGGATGACTTTGGAAATGCATTTTTAGAATCTGTTATCTTTCATTCAACAAAGAAAAGAATCAGGCCACAAATAGAACCCAAAAAGAAAACACTAAACTCTAAGAAGTAAACGCTTATTTTGCTATATACTTCAGCACATGAGATATTGTTGAAAATGAACCATTTCCATGCTCAGATTCAGTCACTGTACTACCCTTCAAGTAATAATATCCAAGGAGAGGCGAAAGCAGCCCCGAAAGAGGTTTGGTCTGGTATACATTACCCCCACTTTGACAATGCCAGCAACAATTTAGAATCCAGTGCCCTTGATGACATTAAGGAAAGTGACCTGCTAAAGTGACTAATGTTACATGGTTTCATGTATTATCTCTTACAGTTTACAGTCTATCTTATTTAGAAATACAGTCATCTCCTGTCCGACATAATAGTGAAAAGATTTCAGCATCTCGTCTGTCCTGTCCACTCCCTATCACCTGTGTGTAAGTACCCAGTGATAAATGCTCCCAACCTTTGCACATTCTACTTCTGTTGCAAAGTCAGTTGCATATTATTTTGGACTTTCGTTTACTCTATGATTGTGAGTCTTTATTCAACGTACTTTTTATTGTTATGCAGGTCAAAAGTAATCCCATATCCAATTCCCTTCTTCTTCAGGGCATCTGGAAGAATTATATTTCCCTCCCTGCTGAAGTTAGACAAGAGCATGTGACTAATTCCAATCAATGAATGCCATTTTCATGAAAATATCTATGTAACAAAGAGGATATAAAGCCCCAGCAACTTGGCACATCCATTTCAAGAAATATTCTATTCAAATCCAGTACCACGAAATAATATAGTTTTTGAAATTTATATTAACTCATCAGACTGTGAACTCTTTGAGGACAGAGCTTGCTTGGAACCCACACACACTAGATACTTAATAAGTGAATGAATGAATAACTGAATGAATGAATGAAAAACTGCAATTTCAATATCATGTCTTATTTAAATCATTCTTATTTCTCCTGTATGCTCCCTTGAACACTTTGCTAATTTAGGAAATTACCCTTAAGAGAGACAATTTATTCCTCAGAGAGGCTAGCAACAATATTCTGGCTTTTCAAAGGTTAGTATGGAATCCAAGAAGGAAATGCCAGTGAGTTTTGCATTCTGTTTTGAACCCTATAAAAAGATGGCCCAGGGAGTGCATGTAATTTTACATTTGAATGTAATTTGTGGTTTTCTTTCTCCATGTGGGTTTGGTGATTTGAGGCTGTTATGGACTGAACATTTGCATCCCCCTAAATCCATATATTGGAGCCCTAACCCCAGTGTGATGGTATTTGGAGGTGGGGCCTTTGGGGAGGTAGTTAGGTTTAGATGATGTCATGAGGTTAGATGAGGTGGAGCCCCAGTGATGGGATCAATGCTCTTATAAGTAGAGGGAGAGACAGCAGAGCTGCCTCTCTCCCTCATGTGAAGCTACAACAAGAAGGTGTTTACAAGTCAGGTAGTGGGCCTTCGCCAAGAACCAAAATGACCACTACTTTGATCCTTGACTTCCCAGCCTCCAGAACAATAATAAATGTCTGCTGCTTAAGCCACCCAGTCTATAGTATTTTGTTACAGTTGCCTGAGCTAAGACAGAGGCCAAATTCTCAGCTCCTCTATCTCCTTTAGAAATGTAATATTATTTGCATGATACAGCCACTTTCCCTTGCTTTCAGCAGCCAGCTGAAGATTCTGCTGCTTTAGGTAAATTAAGCAACATGTCCATTCAATAATTAGCCTGATGCTTTAAGCATTTTCTAACTTTGGTTTGTTCGGCCACCATTGTTGCAAGGCACTATTTGCTATGGAGCGCCAACCCAGGTATGGTGTTCTTGGGTTTTACACAAGGCAAATAAATGGAAACTTTCACTCAACTGTAACAGCTTCTAATTTTAGAAAATAGAGAGTTCAGTAATTCAGCCACAGATTTAACTTTTTAAAAAAATGCTCTAGATCATATTAAAACCCACATGATTTCTTTTTTCACTCTGTAAATAGTTTTAAAACACTGCCCTGATTTGTGTTTCCCTGCAAGAGCAAATGCATTTTCCTAGAAATATGGCATTTTGCATTGGCAAACAGTTGTAGGAATAAATTCTTTAAGCACCATTTGAGGAGTTTACTTGAAAGTTTGGAGTCTCACACCAAAATGCTATTAAATAGCAATCTGTTACATGCAATGCCAAATGAAAGTCTGCTGTCATAATTCACTAAAGTTTAGTTTCTGCATCATTTTGATAAATTTACTTTGCTTACCAGCTTCGCCACAAATCATACCTTATGGTTGTCATGTGAAGGCAGTAAAATACCATACACTTTCAGATGACCTCTATCCAAAAATGCTTTTTCCCTGTTCATATTTTATCTGTCAAATAGCATTTTCTTTCAGAAGTAAATATAAATGCCATTATTGGGAGAAGCTACCGGCCTAGGGCAAGTTCTAGCATTTAGTGTTCTGACAGATCTTAATTTGGATATCAGCCAAAGTCAATAAGACTTGTTCATGCAGAACCTTACCTGGTTTTCACCACATCGAGGGGGTGCATCAGGCAAATTTCTACAAGACCTGAAAGATGAGAAAGAAAAGTCCAATAAACACTTATGTAAACACTGGTTCTTGTTTCCTTGACCCCATTGATTTCTCAAGTATGAAGATTCAAATGAAAATTGGGGCTTTGGAAATGACAGCAGGTAGTTAGAGACTAGTAGCAAAAGACAAGAGTATAAGTGCTCCACCAAGCATGGGGGTGGGGCGCTAGGGGAAAGAAAATGAAAGAGGAATCAGATGTCAGAAATCCCAATCATCTAGGCAGGAATTATTGTGTACGATTCCAGTTCAACAGATAGATATACGTCAAAGGGAGGGAGGAAAGAAAAGGTAAGAAGGGAGAGAAGCTCTTTCAGCAGCCCCACCACTGCCACTCACAACAAATCATAGTCTCAGTCTTGGTGAACATGAAATAAAGATAATGAGGCCTGTTATCTCATGAGGTAGTTATGAGGATCCAACACACATTTAATACATTAATAACCTAACAGAGAAAGCGTATTAAGTGTTCATTGCATGCTGGGCAGTATTCTAAGCAGTACTTAGATGATCTCATTTAATCCTCCCAAGAGCTTGTTGTGATAGGAGGTATTATTATCCCCATTTTACAGATGAGATCACTGAGGCACACAAGTTTAAATAACCTGTCTAAGATCTCACAGCTAAGAAGTACGTAGTAACCCCATAAAGCCCATGATTTTAACCATTGCACACCAAGAAAGAATTTCTATACCTTCTTGCAAATCACTTGCAAAGCCCTCCCTCCTGTTGTCCGAGCACAGAAGACCACTCAATTACAAACTACTGGCATGTAACAACATAGCAGTAAAAGTAGTTTTATGTACTTGGGTAGTACAAATAATTACAGCATAGTTGCAGTCTCGTAGTAGTAATAATCGTAACAGTTACCTTACCTGCAGCCCCTACATAGTGATGGTCATGTAACACACATTATCACCGGTATGCACAACTACTAGGCAAGGTAAATATGTATCAGCAGCAGCAGCAAAACAGAGGTTGATAGTGTTGGTTGATTTGCCCAAAAGCCATAGTATTTGTGAGTAGTTTCTTAAGGGCAGAACATTTACCACTCTTTCCATTTGCAAACTAACTCAATTTGAGCTTAGCTGTGATTTAGTTCTCCTTTCCCATTCCATATTTTACAGACAAATGTCTTTTACTCCCCACGCTGGTAAGGTCCAGGAAGCACAAAGGGCCTGCACCTCCCTGAAGTCCTGCCTTCCTTCCACAGAAGTTTAGGGAATTCTTCCTGCGTAAGCCTGCTATACAGTTACAAAGCCCATATATTGACCCAAAACAACTGTCTTACTTTGACTAAAACTAATACGATCCAATATTAACGTCTGTGCCACAGGTTTCCCAGCAGGAATGCTCCTTAGTGGTTGGTAACCAAATCACTGACCCAATCGGAGTCTCATTGTCTAGAGATGGGAGGAGCAAGCGTAGGACCGCGGGGGCAACAGAAATGCTAGGCGCAATGACAAAACCTCTGGGCACTGCTTTGACTTCAGGAATAAGCTCCGTTACTCAAGATTGCATGGGTGGGTTTCTTCCTTGAAACCCGTAAAGTCTTTTTTTTTTTTAAGATTTTATTTATTTGACAGAGAGAGACACAGCGAGAGAGGGAACACAAGCAGGGGGAGTGGGAGAGGGAGAAGCAGGCTTCCCGCGGAGCAGGGAGCCTGATGCGGGGCTCGATCCCAGGACTCTGGGATCATGACCCGAGCCGAAGGCAGATGCCCAACGATTGAGCCACCCAGGCTCCCGAAACCCGTAAAGTCTTAATACACGTCCTCTTGCTTTAATATTCACATTCACCTTGAAGTAAGATCCTTATCCTGATGCTTTCAGGGAATGATAATTAACTCCTAGGGGCATCAGTTCCTTATGTGTAAAGGGAAAAGTTAAATGGTCTATAGTACCTTAAGGTCTCATATTCTATATTTATTTATTCTTGAATCTGATTTATATATGTATATGTTTTATTTATTTATTTATTTATTTATTTATTTATTTATTGGACAGTGGGAGAGAGAGAAGGGGGAGGGAGGGGCAGAGGGAGAGGGAGAGACTCTTAAGCAGGCTCTATGCTCAGTGGGCCTCCATCTCAAAACCCTGAAATCATGACCTGAGCCGAAATCAAGAGTCAGACACTTACCCAGCTGAGCCACCCAGGCACCCCTATAAGTTTTACTTATAGTTCTAATTTAAACTTTATTATATTAGCTAGAAGAGAATAAGGCTCTAATGCCATAAATAGGATTTGCCCTGGAAACTCAGACTTGTAAAATAACATTCTTATCAAGCACTGTAAGAAGCATCTATTAAGTGTACTTATTTTTTTTTTTAAGATTTATTTATTTATTTGAGAGAAAGAGTGTGTTGTGAGGGAGGGGAGGGGCAGAGGGAGAGGGAGAGAAGCAGACTCCTACTGAGCATGGAGCCCCACGTGGGGCTGGATCCCACAACCCTGAGATCATGACCTGAGCCGAAAGCAAGAGTTGGCCACTTAAGTGACTGAGCCACCAGGCGCCCCTATTAAGTGCACTTATATGCATCTCATGAACATAAAGGAATAAGACACTCAGAATCAGTTTACCGAAGCGAGTACACAGTTTCCCCACTGACATGGCATTAGAAAGCAAACAAAATATTAAACACCAAATAGCCCCAGTTGGTATATCTCTCAAAAATTTACTATAGGAACCAACAATTCCAACAATTTATTAAAACTAATAGCAGAATTCAAAGAATCTGTTCACATTTATGTATACCTATTTGCAAAAATTGTTCTACTTTCCTGTTTGCTAATGGGCATTTCTGGTAGTAAGTAGATACTACATTAGATTATTACAGTTTGGGGGTTACTTAAAATTATTTTCTAACCTCTGGTATGCCCTGAAATAGTCATTTTATCCAACAAACTTACATTGGTTGTCTTTTATGTGTCTAGTGTTGAAGATAGAGTCTAGTGAGGGGAACAGACGCACAAGAACAATAATGCATGGGAGGAGGTGCAATGTTCAGTTTATGGAAACACAGCAGAGAGAGGCCCCTGATCCAGCCTGGAGTTGGGGGAGGTGTGGAAAAGGGACTTGAAGCTGAAAGAGGGTAAAATGAGTGTCAGGCATAGAGGAGACACTGCACACAGAAAGAAGGAAATAGGTATTATTTGTTTCAGGGGTACAGGTCTGCGATTCAACAGATACATTATATGTTAAAAAAAAAAAAGAAGATAGCAGGAAAGGAAAAATGAAGGGGGGAAATCAGAGGGGGAGATGAACCATGAGAGACTATGGATTCTGAGAAACAAACTGAGGGTTCTAGAGGGGAGGGGGTGGGGGATGGGTTAGCCTGGTGATGGGTATTAAAGAGGGCACACCTGAATGGAGCACTGGGTGTTATACGCAAACAATGAATCATGGAATACTACATCAAAAACTAATGATGTAATGTATGGTGATTAACATAACATAAAAAAAAAGAAGGAAATAAGAAAGAACATGATGAACATTGCTGTAGCTGAGGGTTGAAGGCAGGACACAGCAAGAGATGAGGCTCTAAGTGTATATATATATAAAGGTCAGGGTCAGATTCATGCTCAGGCACTTGTAGTTCATCCCATCGGCCAAGAGGAGCCAGTAAAAGATATTTTTAAAAAATAGTTCCTTGGTTGTTTTTTCTTATTCGTAATGTATTCCATGTTCATTGAAGACATTTTGAGGGATTTTAAGCAGAAGTGAGATATTAGCCTCAGTTAACATGTTCTCCCAAGAATAAGCAATATGTTCAGTAATCCTCCCACTGCTCCCAATTACATATTCACATGAAAACACATGAGCACTGAGGCTCCAACCCTTACCCTTTGGTTACCAGTAAAAGCCCCACCTCTCATCACAGCATAGATGGGCCGATGTCCCATGTACCTCTAAGTCTGAAAGAGTCAATGCCCATCTATGAAACTAAATTATAACTTGGCCAATAGGCAAGTCTGACTTAAATTGTCAAATAGAACATGTTTAGTCCAGAATCTCTTAGTTGTTCATTCGTCGGTTTTTTTTTTAATTTATTTATTTTTTAAAGATTTTATTTATCTATTTGACAGAGAGAGACACAGTGAGAGAGGGAACACAAGCATGGGGAGTGGGAGAGGGAGAAGCAGGCTTCCCGCGGAGCAGGGAGCCGGATGCGGGGCTTGATCCCAGGACCTTGGGATCATGACCTGAGCCAAAGGCAGACGCCTAAGGACTGAGCCACCCAGGCACCCCTCATCGTCGTTTTTAAGCAAAACAAACCATTTTCTAGAATTCAAGTTAGCAGCAAAATGCATCAGAAGCAGAAAGAATAGATATGTTGGAAATGATATGGAAATAGTTCAGAGTTAAGTCTGGATTGACTCGGGGTGAGAATGGCTGCTTGTTGTCCTCTACTGGGTAGCTAAGGACTGTGAGACTCTGATGATGACAATGACTATTTTTTGCTTTAAACCATGTTTGTTTGTTTATTTATTTATTTTGTAATTCTTTATTTAAGTTCAATTTAGTTAACATAAGCTATATTATTAGTTTCAGGGGTAGAATTTAGTGATTCATCAGTTGGGTATAACACCCAGTGGTCATTATATCAAGTGCCCTCCTTAATGCCCATCACCCAATTATCCCTTCCCCCCTCCCACCTCCCTTCCAGCAGCCCTCTGTTTCCTAGAGTTCAACATCTCTTATGGTTTGCCTCCTTCTCTATTTTTATCTTATGTTAATTTTTCCTTCCCTTCACGATGTTCCTCTGTTTTGTTTCTTGAATTCGACATATGAGTGAAATCATATGCGATTTGTCTTTCTCTGATGGACTTATTTCCATTAGCATAATACCCTCTAGTTCTTTCCATGTCGGTGCAAATGGCAAGATTTCATTCTTTTTGATGGCTGAGTAGTATTCCACTGTATTTATATACTACCTCTTCTCTATTCATTCATTTGTCAATGGACATCTGGGCTCTT